TCCTGTCTACCATGAAATAAACAGCATCCTCTACATATTCCTACTACCACAATGTATTGCCCATGCATATAGGGTTAAACAACCCTGGACTGAATCCTCTGAAATGATGAATCCAAATAAATTCCTTTTTCAAATCAAAACATAAATTCCTCTTTTAAGGTGCTCTGTCAAATATTTTGTCACTGCAACAACAAAAACAATGAACTAAATATGGGCTCATGCCCGTAATTCTAGCTAAGCTCTGAGGATAGCAGTTTGAAGCCAGCCCAGGCAGAAAAATTCTCTGGCTATTTATCTCCAGTTAACCACCAAAAAGCTAGAAGTGGGGCCGTGGCTCAAGTGGTGGAGGCTAACATTGAGCAAGAAAGCTCAGGGACAGTACCCAGGATATAAGTTCAAGCCCTCAGACTGATGCGCATGCGTGTACACACAAACCTAATATAAAAACAATGGTTGTATAGAAATGAGATTGCAACTGTGACTAAATCTCTGTGTGTGTGTGCATGTGCATGTGTGTGTGTGTGTGTGTGTGTGTGTGTGTGTGTGTGTGTGTGTGAGAGAGAGAGAGAGAGAGAGAGAGAAAGAGAGAGAGAGATCCTTAATTTATCTAGAATTAACTCCAAACTGCACAGGTTCATGTCTTTGTTTTTTTTTTTTGTTTTTGTTTTTTGTTTTGTCGGTCGTGGGGCTTGAACTCTGGGCCTGGGCGCTGTCCCTCAGCTCTTCAGCTCAAGGCGAGCGCTCTACCACTTGAGCTACAGCACCACTTCCAGGTTCATGTCTTTAATACAGTGGTCCAAGTCCATCTTTCCAACCACATATCCCATTATTGACTTACACAAATACAATACTTAAGATTGTAGCAGCTATTAATTTTTTAACAAACATGTTGTGTAACTGACCTAGTTTGCACATCTACCTAAAATGTTATTTAATAATTTTTTTCTCCAAGGCCCAAAGAAAATTCTTAAATTCTTAAATATGTTTCTAGATGTTTAAAATGACTCCTAAAAATGACTCCTCTGAATTGCAAAACCACTCTTTTACTTCCTTTAGAGTACTTAGTATATTTTGCCTAATAATTTAGGTAGGCATAAAAAAGTTTCATTTTTGATAGCAGAACATAAATTTCTTAGAAACAGGTAAACAATAACATTTTTAAAATGTCAGTTGAGGGGCTGAAAAGGTGGCTCTATGGTAGAGCGCTTGCCTTGCATGCATGAGGCCCTGGGTTCAATTCCTCAGCACCACATAAGCAGAAAAAAAAAAAGCCAGAAGTGGTGCTATGGCTCAAGTGATAATGTGCTAGCCTTGAGCTGAAGAGCTGAGGGACAGCGCCCAGACCCAGAGTTTAGGCCCATGATCAGACCCCCCCCAAAAAAAAAAAAAGTCAGTTGATTTTAGTGATTATACATTTATTCATGTGTACATATGTATACATGTGATCTTTGTGATACCTTATAATAGAAATTTATATTTTACAGATACTATACTAAAGCTCACTAAACCTAAGGAATTTAGTCCCAAGGCTAGTAAGTGACAAAGCCTAAATCTGAATCCTGGCCATTCTAAATCCAAAGCAGAGGATCTTTCACTAGACTGCTCAGAAACCATGAGTGTAACCTCACTGGCTTATCTAATTATTTCCTATTTATTTACCAATCATTAGAGAAAAAGTCTTTGAAATTACCTGTTAGTAGAAAGAATTCAATGTGGGGAATTTTCCCCTCTCTTTCAAAACTAAGATCAAACTCTTCAGAGCAAACAGAATTCTGAATTAAGATGAAGAGATCAGAAGCCTACTTTCAGTTAAAGCTTTCAGGAAAAGTTAATACACACACACACACACACACACACACACACACACACACACACACACACACACACACACACACACACACACACACACACACACACACACACACTAGTTTTGCTTTCTTGTGTTTAAAAATCCCTCTTCCTTTGAGGGTTTGTACCATCTGGATATCCCACTCACTCTACATCCTACATCATCATCTGTTATCTACTACTCTCTCTAGTAATCCTCTATTTTTACTGCACCTGGGTCACAGTCTTCTTCTCTTCCCCATATCTCATCATACTAAATCACTTCACTATCCACACAGACTTGTTCAATATATATTAGCAGCACAATTCCTTGTCATACTTCACTTCACTAACCTTTGTTTCTGCTGTAGGTCACTACCCACACAGACCTAGCTGTTACCTACTCAACACCATGTTAATATTAATGTATTAATATCCCCATGTCTGATCACAATCTGTTTTCCCCAGCTTACATGCACTAATCTGCTCGTTGATCTAACTCAAGAAATTGTAGTGTTCAAGTTCAAAATAACAAAATGCCCAATGTTTTCTTTCTCCATCAATGCTATTACCATCCTCCAACTCACCCAAGGCAATAATATTAACACCACATTAGACTCTTCATTCTCTTACCTGTACATCCAATTAACCACAGTCTCATAGGATTTGTATCAAATTCATCCTTTTGACCCTTTTAAAATGTTACTTGAAATCCTGATTTATAAAAAGAAAATCTTTCAGTGACTAAAATAAATCAACCATTTTTTAAGATATTTATGCACACAAGGTCTACAATGGCATGGCTTCTGCCTGCTTTCCCAACCTCAGAATTTGTTAGTTTTTTATCTTTACTGTTATTTTCTCAGACTGCTGTAGTTCTTAATAGGAGCCATTCCCTTTCTCCTTAGGATCTTTTGTTCATGCTGTTTTCTCTGTTTGAAATGAACCTTCTCTCATCTTTGCCTAGGTTACCCCTTACTATTTAAGTTTGGGGACAGGGGTTACCTCATCTCAGAGCCTTTCCTCAACTCAGCTAGTCTAAGAGTCCTCATTCTCTGGCAACCACAGCATCACAGGCACAAGTCTTACATTTTGTTCTGAGATGACCTATGTAATCATCCAATTTGCCATTTCCACAAGGATCAGAATGTCTCTTATTCATCTGGTGACACACAGTAGGTACATAGGCTAAAACATGGTAAATTTAACTTTTCAACAGAATGATGCTTAATCACCATGTATAACATACCACTGTTAAACCCCTTTCAAAGATGCTCTTCTGAATCTATACAGATGGGTGTTACAAAAATTTACCAGACTTACACAAAAGCAAAGAGCATTTATATAACATACCAGAAAAATTTAAAAATATGATACAAACTTCAAAAACACTGACCAACTTAAAAAGTAAAAACATAGAAACAAAGATTAAGAATCAATTCTGACTGCTACTACATGGTTGCCTAAAAAACTGAAACTTTAATTAGAGCTCAGAGGCTCAGATATATCTACAAGGCCATCCTATCTCTACTGGGATTAAGAAATTATTAATTCACAGGGTTGCTTAGGCAGGGACTTAGGAAGTAACAGATATTTTAAAAAAATTCAACCACATATATCACCAGGGCTAAATGACATTTTTAAAGTAAAAAACAATGTTGTTAAGTGAGCAAGAAAAAGTGTTCTTTTTTCATAGTAATCTGGGGCCTTCTGCTGGCAGTTAGAAAAGAGCAAAGGGTTCGATGTAATAAAGAATTTCCCTTTCCAGCCAAATATTAAATTGCAGTTTGGCACCAAAGTAGATCTCAATCCTCTTCAGAGTAAAAATAAGTTCTTTTATTTGCAATGGCATATTACACTTTATAAAACATTTTGATATACGTTAGCTCATTTGATGAAGTGTTTATAGACATTTTTTGAAGGGAAGAAAACCTGAAAGTCTCTGCAAAACAGGATCTTTTTTTTTTAAAGCTGGGGTGAACAAACATTACTAGATTTTTTTTTCAAGTTCAAAACGACACAGAAATGAGGAAGAGAGTATTTTTTTTTTGTTTTTTTGTTTTTACTTAAGCAGATCAAATCGTTGGGCCCAAAGAGCTCTGCAAAAACTTACAAGGTTGTGTTTGCCTCCTTACTCAAATTAAGAAACGCTTCTCTAAAAGGGACAGGGGCAAATTATAGAGTTGATTTCAGAGAATGGATCTGAGACCTCAGGATATGAAGAGGAAATGAAGGAAGTGGAATTAATGAGGACAAAATTGATTATTCTCCAGCTATCTTAACAGCTATCCATATGGGAAAGGCACCAGAAAGATGAGAAGCAGCTGTTCATTTCCACCTAGAACCAAATCCATCCAGGAATGGAACGGGTTTCCCTGGGAGGAGATTAGCACCCCGTTACGGAGTATATAGCTGTCCAAACAGGTTTGTTAAATTGCTGGGGTGTTATATGGGATTCGCAAAGATACTTCGGGATGGGGTGCGAGAAAGAGATACTGCATAACTCTCAATTCAAGTCCAATGGTGTCTGGGGTTCGCCCATGTGTAGGGCACCCTTTCACAGCGGTGTCCACGTGTCCCGCCCTCCTGGACACCTAGTCCACCTCCGTGTCCATGGCTCCCGCCCCCAGATTGAGGTCTGAAACCTCCTGTCGCCGCCCGTTAGTGGCGGGATAGGGGCAGGTGGCACAGGAGTTATCCCGCCCCAGACGACAGGCTGCTGACAGCTCCCAGGTCCTGGGCGCTCTCGACCCTGGATCCTCGCCTACCTGGACCAGGGACCCCGTTAGATATCCTGTCACCTCTGGCTTCAGGGCTGCCTGCTGACCCCAGCCCCAGCCCGCGGCCTGGACAGGGCGGCGGCGCTCTGCCCGCCGCCTGCCGCCCCTCCGAGGGGCCCCTAGCTTTGTGGCTAGCGGGCCCGCGTCCGTGGGCGTCCCTGCCGCGTTCAGGCCGCCAGCTGGACACTGAGGCCCCGAGCGGATGCGGCGGAGCCCCGGTCGCGCGGACACCGCCGGGGAAGGGCCGCGGCCGCGCAGGCCGCTAGACCGACAGCAGCCACAGCCCGGAGGCGCGAACGGCAGCAGCAGCGCAGGTCCCGCGCCGGCCGCTGGCGGTAGGCGGCGGCCGCCAGGCGGGCGGGCTGGCTCGGCGGGCGGCGGAGAGGCGCTTACCTGAGGGCAGCAGCTGCGCGGGGCGCCGGCGGCTCACTCTCTTCCCGCCGCCATGTTTCTGCTGCGCAGAGCGCGAGGGGACAACCAGGGAGGGGGCGGGAGGCGGCTCAGGAGAACGACGGGCAGGCGGGAGGGCGGCGGGGGTTCCACCGAGGAGGCGGCGGTGGCGGCGGCGGCAGCGGCCGAGGGGCGGGAGCGGGGGCTGCCGGGCCCCGCCCGCCAGCGCCTCCCGCCGGGAGGTGGCGCGCGCCGCGGCCGTTGGGCGCGCGCGGGGGGTGGGAGGGTGGGGTGGGGCAACGGGGCGATGCTGGGCGGGGGGTGCGCGTAGCGAGGGACCTGCCTGCCTGCCGCCTCGCGCTCCCCCCCCCCCCCGCCCCATTTAGCCGCTTCTAGTCCCACAGACGGGTCAAGGGACGCCCGCGGAGGTTTCGGGGACTCGCGTTCGAGCGCCGCCTCTGCCCCGCCAGAGGCGGTGTGGCGACCTCAAGCGAGTTAACTTCGCACCTCCTTGTCAGGCCCTCTTCTCCGACGCGCTGCGCCGAAGGGTTGGTGTGAGGTGAAGTAAGTGAGCACGGGATGCACGCGGACCTGGTAAGTGGAAAGGCTTCTCCGCGGCTCCGGTCCCTCACGTCCACCTGTGGGCCGCGCACGGTGCCCCTCGCCGCACGACTGTGCTTCAGCGCAGCGAGGAATCTGAAGACCCGGGAGGTGGAGTTCCGGGACACGGTCCTGCCGCTCGTGCCTGGCCCAGTGCTGCAGGATGGTCAGCTCTGTCCCAGGAGGCATCCTGGACCAAATACAAGCTGGCTCTGGAAGGAACCTGCAAAGGAAGCTCATCCTGGCAGAGGGAAGTGGCCAGGTGTGGCAGGGATGGCTGGCCCCAGGGACTGCAGTGCCAGATGTTGAGTGAGGATCTGGTGGTGCTGCTGCTGAACCTAACAGAGGAAAAGGGAACGAGAACATGGAAGGAGATCTTTGCAAGTTTAGATAAAGAGCTTTGGGTTTCTTTTCTAAGGCCAGTGGTTTGCACAGTGACATCTTAGGGGTCCCTAGAATCCTTTTAAGGCCTAGTGAACTCAACGTTGTTGTGGTTGTTGTTGCCAATAACACCAAACATTATTTGCTTCCCCCCCCCCCCACACTCTCATTTTGAAAAAGTTACAGTGAAAAGTTTCATAGGATACATACTATCACCACCAATTAAAGCCAGGAACAGATTTTAGAATCCAGCTGTCTTCGTGTAAACCAGGTGTTAGATGACATTCACACAAATGTAAAACACTCTTCATTCCTTTGGTCTTTAGAAAATATAGTTATTTTCATTTAGAAGTGCTTGTGTTGACATGTGATATGTTTATAACCATTAGTTAAGCAATTAATTAAACATGAATTAATTTATTGAGATAGGGTTTCACTATGAGCCCAGGCTGGCCTCAAACTCATGATCCTCCTGCTTAGACTCCAGAATGCTGGGGATTACAACCATGTGACACCACTTCCAGTTTATTACTCTTTTAATGAATGCCTTTAAACTTCCTGGTTTAAATTGCATATAGTAAATGTTGGTGGAAGCCACAAACTGCATTTTTTAAAAAATCTACAAAGCCTTCAGTAATATTTTAAGACTGAAAAAGAGCACTGAGATCACAAGGTTTGTAAATGCCTGCCTTAGGAGAATTTTAAGTAGGGAAGTGATCTCATCAGATTTACATTTCAGAAAGTGCTTTCAAGCCTCAGCTTAGTCCTGAGGGATTAGTTGGTGGCACAGAGAGACACTGAAGGCAGAGAAAGAGAGAAGCGTGAAAGCTCAGGGCAGGTAAGCCACAGAGCTGAGATCCAGGTGACTCCATGCTTTTTATTTGGTATTGCCTTGTCACCTGACCAGTACCAAGACAGGTGTCCTTTTTCCCACTTTGCCCCTTATAGAGAAGATTCTGCTATCACATGCTGTGAATGCTACCACTGTTTAAGCCCAACAATCACCTCACCTTAGTGTCTACTTTCTGGGAACAGTCCAGCAGAGAGGCAGGTGAGGGGAAACAAAGGGGTGACCAATGACAGTATGAGTGGGCTTGAGAGTCACCTAGGAACAATATCCTTCACATACTTATAGGGTTCTTCAGGTAAGTGAGAGGGAACAACGGCATCAACAAACACCTCTACTGTCTGGAAAGCTGCTTTTGGAAATATATTTTCCCAAAGTATCCATAACCAATGAATATCTTGAAAAGATATAAACTTCATAATCATCCTAATTTAAGCACATAGGAAAAAATTTAATATATTCTTTACTCATTATGACCATGGATCAGTAATAATGTCAGTCTTTGTTATTAAGAAATCCCACTGGAGCTGGGTGCCAATGTCTCGTGCCTGTAATCCTACTTGGGAGGCTGAGATTTAAAGAATGAAAGACTGTATTGCTTCTTAAGAGGAGGTCCCAGAATGTTTGTTGGGGGTGAGTGTATTCTGATAGCTTCTTACTTTCTGATTATCAGCTGCCATTTCTCTGGCAGTATACCTGTCCACTTAGTGCCTACTTCTAATTTGCCAAAGCCAAGAATATTATTTACCCAAGTTTACTGGAATTGGATTTAGCCTGTATCATTAGCCCTCTACCCAGACTTATTCTTGTCTTCACTTTCATTAGACGATTCCATATTCACGGGTTAAGAAGCAAACACATGACTTCCCTATATTCTATGTTTGTTCCCTATTTCATATAATGACCCCACCATATTCTCAGTCACCTACAATATTGTATTAGTCAGCCTTCCATCACTGTGATAAAATACCTGAGAAAAACCAATACAAAGGAGCAAAACTTTGGCTTACAGTTTCAGAAGCTTCAGGCTATGGTTAATTGACACAGTTGCAGTTAGTCCTGTTGCTTCATGACCAATTACCACAAACTTAGCAGTTAAAACATCCCTGCTGGTTAGTTCAGAGTTCTGGGGCTGTGGCTGGATTCTCTGCTCAGGCTGTTACAGGCTTCAGTCATGGTCTGTTGAGCCTTGATAAGGGAAAGGTCTGCCCAGGTTCCTTCAGATTGCTGACAGAATTCATTTCCCTGTGTTGCAGGACTGTGATCACCACTGTCTTGCTGTCTGTCAATGGGGGACCACTCTCAGGTCCTTGCCAGGAGGTCTCTCCTTTACTCATCAACAGACACTCTTTCTCATAGTAAACCCATCTCATCCTTTGAATTGCTCTGATTTCCCTTCTTCGAACAGAGAACACTTTAAGCTTTTGAACAATGTGTAAGTAGGTCAGGCTCTCCCAGATGATCTCCCTACATTAACACCAACACTGACATATAATGTAACCCAATCACAGGAGTAAAATTATAGTCATTGTCCCAGGATTGTGTAGGATGTGGACACCAGGTACTAGGAATCTTGGGGGCTGCTTTAGAATTCCATTTACTATGTCTAGTGAGACTATCTCTTAAACATTCTCTGAGAACTTCCCTGGTTGTTTGTTCTGGAGCTTAATGGCATGACATGTTGTGTTACTATTTTGGGGCTCAGTTGTAAGCTTATTTGCTTCTTGAGATCAGAAAGTTCACTTTCATACCTGTAGTGCCAATGTTCAATCAAGGTTTGGAAAAAAGTTTTCTTAACGTGTTTGTTTTAAAAATGTAAGTGTAGCCGGATGTTGGTGGCTCACACCTGCAATCCTAGCTACTCAGGAGCCTGAGATCTGAAGATTGTGGTTCAAAGCCAGCCCGGGCAGGAAGGCTGTGAAACACTTATCTCCAATAAACCACCAGAAAGCTGGAAGTGGCACTGTGGCTCAAGTAGTAGAGTTCTAGCCTTGAGCTGAAGAGCTCAGGGGCAGTGCTCAGGCCCAGAGTTCTAGCCCCATGACTGACCAAAAAAAGAACACGTACATATTGTCTTTTAAATCCTTGCTTAGATCCAGCTAAAAACTTTGGACACTTCTGGAGGACACCTCTGCTGTCACTTGGTAAATATCTTTGTATGATATGTACCTCTTTGTAATACCTTAAAGTCAGAGTAATTTTGAACATAGTTTTATTTGTATTTACTTAGTATCCTGGAACACATCAATTTATAGATGTCATTAACTTTTTGATGTTGGATTTTTTTTAAAAGAGATGGATAGGATTTAAAAAATCAGAAGGATATGGTGAATGGAATTGGGCTTGACAGACCCAGAGACCCTTAAGGTCACCTGTAGAAAGATGCCCAGGAATGGAGGTCATGGAAATGGATGAAAATAGACAAAATTAATCAGAGTGTAAGTTCTTTTTTAAAAGAAGGGTTGTGAACCCAGGTACCAGTTGCTCATGCCTGTAATCCTAGCTATTCAGGAGGCTGAGGTTTGAAGACCTTGGTTCAAAGCCAGCACAGGTAGGAAAGTCCATTCTGATATCTAATTAATCAAAAAATCTGGAAGTGGGGTTGGGATGTAGCTTAAGAGCAAAGCACTTCCCTAGCAAGTGCAGTGTCCTGGGTTCAATCCCCAGTACCAAAAAAACAAAAGACAAAGATAAGCCAGAAGTATATCTGTGGGCTTAAGTGGTAGAGCATTAGCCTTGAGTAAAAGCACTCAGGGACAGTACTCAGGCCCTGAGTTCAAGCCCCAGGACTGATACACAGTCATCCATCCCCCAAAACAATAACAGCTGAAAGAAAGGATGCAAGAAGACCCCAGGTCTACTGTTTCATGTATTATATTGTAAAACCGAACTTGACAATGTCCTCTATAAGGGACAGAAAAAAAAGAAAGGAGTGATTATTCTGTCACTGACAATTGTGTTTTATTGTACTGTTGGTGGCCTAGGAGAAGAGTGGGTAAAGGAAATGGGAGATGTAGCTTCTGGTGCTTAAAGAAAAGTGAAGAAGGTAGATTGGAACACATAAGCTCTTAGGCTCCTAGATTTCCAATGTTTCTTCATACTTTCTGGTTGTGGACCGTTTGTGACTCCATTTCACCTCAAAGGACAGAGATTCTAACACAAGACAACAAAAGAAACACAATCAAATGTGGAATTTGAAAGAGATCCAGAAAAGGTTACAAACTGAAGGTAGTATTTTAGCTGGGCTCGAACTATGGGGAAGAAAAGTTGATTGGAGGCAGGGAAGGAA